ATATGTATATATATATATATATATATTTATATATATATATACAAAATTTTAATTCCAATCATTATGTGCTTAACATCATTTATTTGTTTTGCCAATTTGTAGCTGTGAGTCCAAAAAAAATTACAAATTACAAAATCCAGAGTTGTTTATATGTGTGTTTCAATCTAGAATTTTTCTCTACTAAGTTTATTTTCCAGAATATTTTGTCTGACAAGCGACGACTACTATTATCACTACTACTACTACCACTACTACTACTACTACTTCTACTACTAGTTATCTTATATTAAGGGGAGCTAAGTTTCCGGGAAATTCATGCCTGGCAAACAATAGTACAAAATATACTCCAAGCTGTAAAATACATTATCATAAGTGTGCTTTTTTATTATAACGACAATCATTCAAAGGATATGTGATATTTTGAGGTAAAAGTAAAAAAAAATAAGTAGAAAAAAAAAATAAAAAAAAAAAACAAATCCTTTCATATTTAGAAAATCAGAAGAGAAAATAACAGTATAAAGTTAAATTGAAAATGTTTTGTAAAGCTACTCACAACTTCTTTCGGATAATACAAATTTTGTTTTAAATTCTCTATAATTAACTATTTACAAAAAAAAATATTAAATTAGAAAATTAAATTAAAAAAAAATTTTTTTTTGTTATAAAATTCATTAACACAAAATGCCTTAAAAATTGCCATACTTTAATAATTCCTTAACTATATACAAAAAAAGCGGATAAGTTTATTTTATTTCCAAAGAAAATGATTGTATATGTATTGTAGATAATGCAGATGAAAAATAATTCAAATATATTATATATATACAAAATCAAAATCAGAGAGGTCTTTTATATAATTTGAGATTGAAATTAAAATATTAATTTATTATGTTAGATATAAGTTTAAAAATATGTATAAATATATAAATGATGTTTAGCAATAATGGTAGGATTGCACACATCACAATTTATATAAAAAATTAAATATTATTTAAAAATTAAAATAAAGCATCTTATATTCATTATATAGTACTTATACACAGTACTTATATACTTATATATGTATATACATATAACTCTTATGTTATTTTACTAATTACATAACTTCAATTAATTTAAACCTTAATTTCTTTTTTGTTTAATTTTATTTGTTCAAATTCAAACATTTCGCATTTTAATTAATATAAATGTATAATTTTACATGTTTTTTGAAATTTGGTAAGCCTTAATTGAAAATTATTTTCGTAAACGCATATACATATGTATTAATAAATATATTTATATATATATATATATATATTATATATATATATATATATATATATATATATATATATATATATATATTTATATATATATATATTTATATATATAGATATATATATATATGTATGTGTGTGTATGTATATATAAACATGTTGTTAATTAATATCATTAATATTTAGTTTTCAATATAGAAAATGAATACGCAAAGGATTATTATAGAATATTTTGTTAAAATATTAATTAAAAGTTTTGAAGATAAAATTTTCATTTCTAAAAAAAAACCATTATATTTCTATTATTACATAATTCGATTTATTTTGTTTTTCAATACACTTTATTACATTTTCTTTTTTCATTTTTTTGTTGTTTCTTATTTTATTAATTGTGTTTTTATTACATTTAAATAATAATAATACATCAATATGTTCATCATTAAATATAATAAAAATTTATAAAGAAAGTTAATTTTCAAAGAAAAAGTGAGCATTTGTATTATACTATGAGAGCTGCACAGAAATTCTGACTTAATTTTAAAAATTTATAGGATATGAATACCTATTGGAAAATTTAAACTTTAACTTTTTGAATAATTGCTTCAATTTGATAACTAAATTCATACTTGTATACAATTCATATGTATAATTCCGCGCGCTACATGCGCTTTATTAAAGCTATGGTATTTTCTTTTATTGAGACAACAAATTAGCAATTTCTTTATATATAAAAGAATTTTCATTATTAAGCTACACATACTTTTACTTGTTTTTTTTATTGTTATGCTAAAACCTAAAATGAATATTGTAAAAATTGTCCAGATATTAAATTAAGGAGACAATTGACGCGCATTACCACCATCTGTGTAGTTGGCTTGTAAAGAATAATCCTTATTGGATTTATATATCTATATACCCTCGGAAATTTCTCTTCAACTGTTAGATTTTTTTAAAATATTTAAATTATCTGCTGTTGTTTTGTGATTCGTTTCTTTTATATATAAGTGTCTCGCAAACGTAAATTCAAAACTACAATTTCTAGTATCCTTCCCTGTTTTACTTATGCTTATTTATTTAATTACTTATATTTATACTAATGCTTATTTTAAATATGTACATATTAAAAAAAAAAATGCAAACATGCAGCGTATTATCCAAGAAACCTTTTGTAAAATGTTTTATTATTACATTATGTTTATTCATACAAAAATTAAATAGCTTCGGCTAAATGAATAACTAATTTTAGAGTTTTGTAAGTAAAACCTTTAATATTAATATTGGCAAACATAAATTTTATATCGTAGTCTAAATTTTATATAAGCAAATCTACTAAGAGTAAAATAATTTATACAAATGTAACTACATACCAAAGCTGTTTTATTTGTAATTAAGGAGGTATGAAGAATAACGAGAAATAAAGATTTTAAATTCTCTCTCTCACATTTTTTGTTACTGTTACTATAATACATAATTTGTTCGTGTTACTCAGCGTGTAATTAAGTATAGTTTTTCAACTATGATACAAGCAGAACACGAAATACATAATCTGTGTAGATGTAGATTATACAATACCGTAAATTGCTTTTAGTCTTTTCTTAAACTAAGAATATTTCCAACATATCATATTCCAAGATATCAAAATGCTTATTAAGATTGATATGTTTATGTACATACATATACATATTTAATTCATATTAATAATATACGTTATTATAAATAAGTATTCATTATATACAAAAATTTTCACTTTATTTTAAAGAGCTAACGTCTACCTATTCTCGATTATATTAATCCATCATAATTCAAATTATTGATTATTGCATATATTGATAATATGATTTTTATAACTGTATATATATGTATATAGCATATATATAAACATTTATAAACTAAGAATTTGTATTAATAGTTAATTGTTAAAAATTTTTTTTTTTTTCGTTTACATATTCGTATAAAATATACTTTCGATTGAAAAATTTTGATAATAATTAGATAAAATATCTTAATTTTAATTTTATTATTTTGATTGAGAAAATTAAATTGAATTGAGTAAGGATTTCCTGTAAAAATTATTTAAATACCAAATACAACTTTTATTACATTATATTTTATTATATATAATATCTTTTTCCTTCTTCTTCTTTTATATAAAGTTAATTTTAATAATAGTATTAACAAACCGAATATAAATATAAATTTTGTAAATAAAAATTAGAAAAATATTAATGTTTAATAAGGCACCATAAATGTACATATAAATAAAAACAAAATACATTAAGTATAACATATATAAATAAATGAAATTAATTTGTTCATTGACGCTGAAATGGGTCATTTTTTTAGCTATGTATAACATATTCAATAGATTAATATACATATATACTGACTAAATATCATTTACATATACTTTCTATTTTAATATTTTATTTACCAATGTATATAACATAAATAATTAGTTATAATAAGGGTGTATATAAATAAAGATATATAATATATTTAGGTTGAATAATAATCATTTTTTTTTTAATATTTTTATTGTACTACAAGTATAAACAAACAGTATTGAGCACATAAAAATATAAAATTAAGCGACTATATTATAAATTGTTAAAATGTAAATCTGTTATACATGACAGAGATTTTTATAAACACATTGAATCGCGATATTGTATAGAACAACTACCCTATATTAAGGTTCATAAATGTTTCTAAGTTTTCAACAAAATACATGAAATGCCAGCCCCTTCACAAACTAGAAATTACAAGCATTGTATAACCATATACATATGTATATAAATAAATAATACAACTGGTAAAAAAATTAAATAACGATTTTTGATGAAAAAAAAACGCTTACTATTTTTTATTAAGTTACCAGAGTCAAAATTTAATTCGATCCCGTGAAAGGTCAAATTGTTATTATTTTACTAAAGCATCTAAATCATTTGTACTGCTTTCACCTTCACACAAATCTCAAAATTATATTACGTTCCTGTTATTTTGTTACTGTATTTTGTTTATGAAAATCTCTAATATTATAATATTGAATAATTATTTTTTAAAATTTGTTTCTTTATAATACAAATATTATTTTTATTATTTATAATTCAAAATAAATATAAATATTAAGCACAAACATTTTGCTATTTAAATAATAAACAAATAATTTTTATTCTGTTTTTCTAAACAAGTTTTTAATGCAATTTAAATTTTAAATATTTGCACAAAATAATTTTTTTCAAGCACTTTTCAAATCTTTTGAATTTTTTGAATTACAAAATACTTTGCACATGTTTCTTATTTTGTTGTTTTTTTAATATTATAAATATGTATTTAATACATTTTATATATGTATCCCATAATATACAATTTATGAATGTAATTAAGTTACTTTTTAAATATTATAAATAAAGACTTATATTTTTTGCAACTATTAATGGTTTCAAAAAAAGTCAATTTATAAATATTTTAAATATAAATATTTTTTTTAGATAATAAAAATTAACTTTTTAAAATTATATCTTTTTCTTTTTCTTTTTTTGATTCTCCATATTATTCGTTTTGTCTTTTTCTTTTTTTTTATCTTTGTTTTTTTTATATCGTTACTTCTCTTTTTTATAACAAAAAAATTGCGGCCATTAAAACTTTTTCTCAAAACTCAACTAAACTACATTGTGTGGCTTACTTATGCAATGACATCATGTTTAATACAAATATATTTGATCTATTATGATATCTTAGAAAAAGGAATACTGAAAAAACATGGATACGGTCTGGTATTAGGTGAACAATTAAAAGATAAATGGGGTGAAGACGGTCAATCAGATAATTTAGAATTGATTGCTCAACAAGATACATTAGTATCGGCAACATCTGGTGCTGCTGCCTCTGAAGTAGAACGTACATTAAAAAGTTTAAATGGTTATCATGAGGATATATTAGAAGCTCTACGTAATGCAGCTTCTCATCGTGGTACTGGTGCTGGTAATACTCCAGTTGGTAGTGGTAGTTTAAGTGAAGAAATGTTACGTAAAACATTACAAGAATGTACTTCAGCAACATTAAATTATTCAGATTACAAACGTGGTTCAAAATCAAGTTCTAAAGAGAATATATGCGATATTAACCAAGCACATATGATGGTAGATGGAGGAAGTGGTATAGGTGTTGGTAGCGGTGGCGGAGGTGGTGGCGTAGGTGGTGGTTTAGGTGGTAGTGGTGGTTTAAGTGGTCAAACACAATTATTGCATCATCATCGTCCATCATCACAACAACCACAATCACAGCATGGTTTACAAGATGTAGAAGATGATGCACCATCAACTGGTCCACTACGTATTCGAAATTTAGAAGATTTAATTAGACAATTAGAACATCATTCGTCAAGACATATGAGCCCAAGTGGCTCTGAAGATATAAGAATGTCTGAAACAGAAGCAGATCGACATTATAGATTAGACAGTTCAGCAGCATGTAGTGAATCCTCCCAAGGGTTAGTATTTTGTAATATTTTTTTTGAATATTTTTTACTTTAAATTTTAATTTAATAAATGAAATACATATAATATTATATTTACTTTGTCAATGTGATATTATTTTGTACTTTTTTTATTTTATTTTTACTTAATTTTCTTTTTTTTTTATATAAATTTTATTTGGAAGACGTTTGGTTTATCTTTAAAAATAGGTGGTACAAAGTAAAATTAGTGAGATTTAGCAGAAAATTATAGGTAAGAAACCGCCCTTTAATAAATTGAATACTATATTAAAATTTATTTAGGTATTGAATTGAGCTATAGATAGGCTTTTTCTAAGTGTTGCGTAATTCTGAGCAATACTCAAACATTTAATCACAGCTTTTAAAATCTTCAGTTTTTCCTAAAATTAAAACCCATAACTTTACTGATGTTTTTCAAATTATTTAATTCTAGTAAGTCTTTTGATTTCCAAGAAGTAACAAATAGAATTTTATTATATTTCTATACCATTAGCATAAATCATTCTCTTTGAAAAAATTTTACTAACGGAAAGAAATAAACATCTAAATTCTCTTCGGTCGACAAAAAATCATCATATTATAGCAAATAAATACAAACCAATGATCGCGTTTGCAAATAGTTCATTCATTTTATGTTTGTTTGTAGTGTAAGATTTTTCTAACATTTTACTTGGAGCGAATTATTATCAGAATATAATAGTAAAATAACTAAATCTTACACTATCTCAGAAGTTCCCTGCACCAAAAAAACAACGAACCCTAAAATAAAAAATTCAAGTAAAAGTATTTATTTATTTCATTTCAATTATATAATCAAATTTACTTTTATTTTTTTTACTGTTATTTTATCTCATTATGTGTTATTGCTTTTCAATTCAAAATTAAATCGAAACTTTAAAATAACAATGATTTAAATTTATTTTAGCTCTAATCAACAATTAGCACAATCACAGAAAACAGCAACAATTCATCCGTCTTATAGCAGTCGATGTCGTCCTCGTTCAGACGATGAAAGTCGATTTGTATATGGAAGGTATAGGCATCCACCAGCAAATAGACATCCACATCAATCCCATTCACCTCACGCTTTTGGCCATCATACGCACCATTCGCATGCGCACGGTCATCCATCACACGGACCGCATTCATCACACCATTCTTCGCATACTCATCTACATCAAGATGAAGAGGGCATCTACGAAAGTGCCGATCATCATGATAGGACTGTAGATGCCCGAATCGACCGCGAAACACCAGATAGTGAAAGGTAGGTTTTGTTGCAAAATTTTTTAAGTACCTTTGTATTTTATTTGATATGAAATTTCAATTGGTGTCAAATTTTATTCTATTAAAATGTAGGCCCTTATTATGAGAAAATCCAATACACAATGTATAATAAACGATAGATATCGCTCTCATTTTTTAGCAGCATTATGAAACGATAAACTCGATGAATGCAGGGTGAACGTATCTAAGTGCACTTCTATATAAAATTGTATAGACTTCCATGAGTTGGTTAAACTATTATATGGAGAGGATGTTCACAGCTTAACCGCCCCTTAAAAGTTAAAGAACTTAAAATCAATCTCGATGGCTTTTACTTTTTGAAATTTTAAGTATAACTCTAGTCCAGTGTCTGATCATTGATTTAACATGATTTGAAAGCATCAGCACAAAGGCCTTCTAATAAATATTTTCATTACTTATATTTTCAAACTTTTGAATCGTACGACCTTACAATTCGAAAAATTTGTTGGTTCAACTTTTCATTTTTAAAAATTGGTTCATCACTTTAAAACAACTTAATTTTTATGTAATGTAGCATATTTCAATGAAATCATAACTTTCGGTAATTTGAGCACAGCTGACGACCCTGCTAACTGAGCTTTAATTTGGTATTTCACTAACCAGGTCAAAATATTTATTCACACGTCTATCTAACACAGGAGTGAAGTTTTATTTAAAATTTCACAATGTAAAAAAATAGTTCACTTTAAGTTTTCGTAACCTGGAACCTGTTGGGCTGTGACCATTATCTGCATACAAAAGTTTTACCTAATAATTTTACCTAAGTATACCTAAATGGAATTCTAAGTCACTTTCATATGAGAAATCCTGTACTCTAAAAAAAAACTTTTTATATTTGAATAGCTATACAAATAATTTTAAAATTATTTATACAAGAAAAATATAAAAATAAAAAAACACTTAAAAGCGTTTTTTACACTATTGGCAGTATCGTATATCGTACAATAATTTTTTCATAAAAAGGGCCATGGTTTAAGCTTGTTTTTAAATGTAAATGTTTGTTAAAATATTAGGTTTTTATTAAAAAAAACATTCTTATTGGGTCAGTTATGTAAGTTAAAATAATAAAATTAATCGAAATTTCATACAAAACTAATTAAACAATTAAAATCAAGGTGTTACCTGTAATTTTTTATCTAAAGCACTATTCCCAAAGTACCTCAAAAAAGCATAAATATTGATAATATACTCGTAAAGGAATCATTATACATTTAAATCACCTATTTTAGTTCTGTACTAAAATATATGATATTTTTTTGATTTATACAATTCAAGCAGTGAGGGATGTATGCATCTTTCTCCATCTACAAATTATAGTAAATCTAACATTCTTCTCATCTAAATATTGAATCGTGAAAAATTACACATGAGAAATAGAGAAACAGAAATAATTTTTCCCTCTGCTTCGGGAAATATCCTTAACTAACAAATTGTACGATACAATAAAGTGCAAATTAAGGTTCTTCGAAGTGGTTTCAAATAAAGATTTAAGCCAAAATACCCGAAGCATAATGTTCCACAATACACAAAATTTCGATGTTTAAAAAAAAATTTAAATTTTATAATCAAATTAAATACTCACATATTCTTCTGAACAGAAAATTCTTCTAAACAGAATTTTGATATAACAAAAAATACTTGTTTCACAGAAACCGATTTTACTGTAAGGGTACACAAAACTGAAAAACATAAAAAAATGCTACCGTTAAAATTTACAAGATTTTTTCTAAAAACACTTCGCGCACTGCAAATTACAGCAATGCCGGGTAATAATTTTTTTTATTAATATAATTCTGCATGTTTTGACATACATAGATAAGATAATACGTGTGTAGTTTTTTTTGACATAATATTGATCCACTTTAGCCGACTGGCTCACGATCACTGCACTCACTCTACATGTCCTATCATTACTAGGGAATTTACCAATTTATGAGTTTAAAACTTTCAATCTGTTAAATTGTGTTAAATTCAAATATGTTATTATTATTGATCCAATTTGAGAGACTTTAATACTTTCTATACCTTTATAACACTTTCGTCCTCTCAGTCGTTCTTATTCTGTCTGATTAAAAATAAAGTTGGGTCAAACCAATGGTTTGTATTGTAGCACTTTTCCCTTCAACAAGTGAAAATTCTGCTTTTAAATACAGTCTAAGTATAGCTATCATACTATTAAAATTGTTTTCATTCATATACAAAACTATTTCTAGGATTGCATATATTTAGGATGAATGATTTATGCAGTCTTTGAAATAAAGCAAAAATTAATATAAACTGGGGTTAACATAATGCTCGGTTTTAAGATTTAATTGTGTGAGTTAAGAAAAATAATTATATTTTTTAATATCAGGGAATTTACCGTTAGCTTTTTGCGTTTATAGAAATTTGAAAAAGCTTGCGGTTTCGGAAATATAAGGTGTCAAAAATTCAAATTTTACAAAATTCTAGAGGCGATAGCTTGAGAGGGGGTGGAGATGGAACAAAATTTTCCTCTAACGAAATGAACTATTTGTTAATTTCTTAAATTTCAAGCCCTTAAAATTTCAAGCTTCTACAGGCTGGGGTCTAGAAGAAAAATGAAATCAAAAATTTGGAAAAAAAGGACTTTAGATAACGGTAAACTTGAACGGCCATTTTGTTTTTCTAAAGTTTAACTATAGTATACCGCGCTAGAGGAAACAAGCCACTGCCTTTCTGGGTTTGCAAAGTTTCAAAAATGCTTATGGTTTCATTGCAACAAATAGTTAAAAAATGCCATTTTTAGGGTTTTGGGGTGGGTATAACTTGTTCTACGGAAATAAGTCTAGTAAAGATCTATGTACGTATTAAATTTAAGCTTTCTATCTTCAAGGGTGTAAAAATTTTGTAAGCAAAACAAGTGTCCACGGACGGACGAACGGAGAGAGTGAAACTAATAAGCACTTTTTTTCAAAAAATTTTTAGAAAAGTACTAAAAATTATGTTTTTACCTAGGAAGAAGAAGAGAAAAGCGATTCTCTTCGACAACTTTTTGCAAATATATTCACAGTTTTCGCCAAATTTTAACTTGTTGTTTTCAAAAAATATGAGAGTAGCTAAATTTTGCAAAACTTCAATGTCGCGGCTATATCATTTACATTAATATTGTAATATCCAACTTTAAAAATGTAATATCGTACATGTTTATAGGTATTTATTTTTTTTTCTTAGCACTTTCCTAAGAAAATTTTTGAAAAAAAGTGCTTATTAGTTTCACTCTGCCCGTTAGTCCGTCAGTCCATCCGTGGACATGTTTACAAAACTTCTACATTGAAGATAGAAACTGAAATTTTATTCGTACATAGATATTTACTAAAAACTTATTGTCGTAGAAGAAAATTTTTACCATCTATTAATTTCAATGAAACGGTAAGCATTTTTCAAGTTTTGCAAAAGCTCAAAAGTAGTGACTTGCTTCTTCTACCGCGGCATAACGCATCTGAAATTCAAAAAAACAAAATTGCAGTTAATATTTACCGTTATCTAAAATACGCTTTTTTTCTAAATTTTTGATGTCGTTTTTTGTCTAGACCTTAGATGGTAAAAGTCTGAAATTTTAACAACTTTTAGACACTAACAAAATAATTCATTTTTTAGAAGAAAATTTTTTTCCATCTCTACACCCTCTCAAGTTAACGCCTTTAAATTTTTTATTTAATTTCAACGATTGAATACATAACTCATCCTAAATGTATGCAAATCGAATAAAGAATGAAAGTGATTTTAATAGTGTATTCAGTAAGTATATGTACATAGGTTGTTTTTAAAAGCAGTATTTTCACTTGCTGAAGGAAAAAGTGCTACATTACAAACCATTCGTTTTACACAACTTTACTATGTTTATATTTCTTGGTGAAACCTTGTTCAGTCTTTACAATTTTAATTTATATTTTTTCCAAATTATTCATGTTGCGTTACTTATAATATGTGTTATAAATAATACTCGTAATTTTTTTAAGGTTTACTTTTGATAACTTAAACGTTATCGTGTTGTAAACGTTCTTTTTGTCGAAAACTAAAGCAATATATATTGCGAACTCAGCATGAGTGTTTGGGATGAAGTTTAAAAATTATGTAGAATATATTTGAATACATTTTGAATAACAATATTTCAATTCTACTTTAAAGTTATTTCGAAATCCCAATTAAATTTGAAAAATATTTTAGTTTACCTTGAATCTTTAGTCATACTTAATTCAAATTAAAAATTAAAATATATTGAACTAAAACAGTTGATATGAAAAAATTGGATATCATAAAAAATTTCATTCTTTATGTAAAAAAAATTTTTCGGCATTGACATGGCGTGTCATTGATCAGGATTACATTGAAACTATATTATATTATGTAATATCATTTATATCATTATTACATGTCAAAGTTGCTGTTTTTTGAATGTAAAGTAGCTATACATACACGTAGATATATTCAAATCTATTGCCATTGAAACTTCAATATAACATGTAATACATGAAAAAAAATCGCAGAAAGTCCTGAAACTTCTGTGATTAGCCATATGGATCTCCTTATTACAGGTCATTCATTTTTCTCTCTAGTACTCCTGATCTCCCAAGCTCCTACTCGTCTGGCCTTGTTAAACGTTCACAGACATCGTTCCTCAAATGTCCAATATTTGGGCTCAGTAAGGGCCAGAGGATGGCTCGCAACATTCCCTGAAACCATTCCCGAATTCACTCGTTTAAGCACTCCTTGTATTTCTCCCAAATTGGAGGATTTCGGAAGGACAATTCTGTGATCAAACATGGAGACCTCCGCAGAAACCAATCGTTAATTGCACATCCGAATTCGAGCTGCCGAATATGATGTCTAACATTTTTTTTAACTCTAGCAATACAAGTTGAGGTATTTCCTACATAAAATATTTTTAAGTTTTCCCGTATCAAAAATGCTAATGAGGGCAACCTCTTTTATTAGTATCTCTACAGCTCACCGCCTCTTGATGCGCCTTTGCCTCGTATACCACAAAGAAAATCCACTTGCACTCCCCGCAATACCCTCCCAGGCTTTGTATTTCCACCGGCGGTTACTCCATTTTCTGCAAAATTCGAATACACTGATTTCACCACTTCTTCCACACTCATGTCCCTGCGTTATTCATGTATTCTTAAATACTTAAAAACAAATCTAATATGCTTTCTTATTAGAATGCAAGGTCTAAAGTCTTGGCCACAATCCTATACCACCTCCACTGCAAAGACCCAAGAAGGTTCAGACCCGATTCGTTGTTGGCCTTGTTTTGTTTTTCTTGTTCGTGAAAAAGACGCATGGCACTACAAAGTATAAATACCCTCTGAGGTTACTTGGTGTCAGAGGAAAACTGTTCGCAGTAGTCACTGCACCGTCGACTACCAACTAGTTCACTCAGGAAGTGTTGTATGATACTTTTCATTGAGAAGTGGACTTATTTAAGATAGGTCACATTGCTACTTCATGCCCCTAGAGTGTCTCTTAACTACGTTAATTTTTTAAAAGGTATGATTAAGTTTTCTTGACAACTTACTTGTTTTGTTTTCTGAATTTAATTACAAATAAGAAATTTACCTTTTCCTTCCAACCACTTTGCTAATATATTGCAAATTGTTAAATAAATGTTAATTAATAAGTGTAGCTTATTAGAATAACACAAATCTTAGATAAATATTTAAGTATTATATAAAATAATGTTTTAATATCTCCTTAAATATAACAAATACTTTTACATATATAATTTTTTCAAGTAGAAACAAATTTTAACATAAAAAATTTAATTTTGTGTGTTTTAAGATTAACAAACGTGTCGCCCATGACCTATTCAACATTTTAAAGTAAAATATCAGTTTATGAACTTGTCAAATGATATATACATGCATTTAGAATTGTTAGTTTACATAAATAAAATTCACACACCTTGTCAAACGCGCTTTTTAATATAAGTAGAATTATCAAAACTAAGAAAAAGTCAACAAACACTTTCAATAAAAAAAATCAACTGGCTCAATTTAAAATGAATTGAAAAAGTATTCATTATTTGCTGTAAAATAGTGTAATTGTTTTTCCAATATAAAATTTAAACATACATTATTTATGGAAGAATAATCAGCAAATTTTGGATTCTTTTATTAATTGTGTATGTATATGTAATTCTTATTTCTTATTACCATTTTTAAATTGCTTAACAGTTACCCATTGATTCATTTTGCGCTTTTGAATGCATCTTATTCGCATCTTAAAAATTTTTGTTTTAATTTTTTATTGATAGTTTGGTTCTTTTTTTTAATTTTTTATTTTGCAAACATTCTCTTAAAATTTTTTTATTGTTGAAATAAATTTTAACAAAAACCCTCCAATTTTAATAATGTATAATTCTTTTTTTTCCTTTTTTTCTTTTTGTTTGTTCTTTTACTTCCCTTCCTATATATCTTCCATCTTATTCTCGCCACTTTAATTATTGTACATACGTATTTTAACATACAAATTAAAAAAAATATTTTTTTGTTTGATTAACCCTTTTAGTTATTCTCATTAGTTTTTAATTTTAGTTTAGTTTTATGTTTTAGTTTTTCTGTTATGTTAATTTGGTTTGGTTTTCGTATATCGTGTTCTTGTTATGATTACTATTTTCTAGTGATGACTTTATTCAAGCTCAACAACAATTAGCCCGATGGGCGAGTGAGGATGTAGTTTCCGTGGTGGTGTTGGATCATCAAGGTACATCCCCGGGTCAATCGGTTCAACAGGGACAATTAAATATCAACCAAAGTGGTATACTAGATCCAACAATTACACAAACCCAACAACAGCAACAACAGCAATCGGGTATTGCACACCATCACGGCGGCGAAACGTCATCACTGAGTGGAATGGTCACTACCAGCAACCATACAAATGGTCTAAATGTAAATCAGAGGGATTATTACCCATCGCCACCATCAACGGAAACGGAAAGCAGTGGCAGTGTTATACAACCATCAACAATACAGAGACGAAGTCATATAATAGATACAAATCAAGAAGACGGACAATTAATGGAGAATGGCCGATATCCCGAATATAAACACTGATAATAACTATTGGGGTATACTGAACCGACCCCCGACCATTCCATGTGATTTTAATATAATAAAAATACTAATATACATACATATATATATACATTAAAATTATTACATTATTATAAAATTATTATATAGTAGATTTAGAAAATATTTAAAAACAATTTTTTTTTGAAGAAAACATAAAGTGTTAAATAAACAGACAAAAAAATTAGATAATGAAAATATTAATGAAAAAAATGAAAAAAATATAAAAAAAATTAAATTTTTAAATTACATAAAATTGTATAAAAAAGAAGTCGTATTGAGAAAAATTAGAAATAATTTTTATTTAAGTATAAAACGATACAAAATAATTTTTAAGTATAAAAAATATCAAATTAATTTTTATTTAGATTTCGTTCCAGATAAAAAAGTTGTTGATTAATTTAAATAATTTATTATTGTTGAAGATTTTCGTATAATATACATAGATTTATATAATAAATGACAATTTTATATCTGTATATTTAATTTTTATTTTATTAAAGTGTAATATATAGGAATTACTAAAATAAAATATAAAAGAAAATTTATTACCTGATATTTGATTTTTCTTTTGTATACTGTCATAATTTATGAATATTTTAATTAATTTTTATTTATTCTTTATTTAATAGAAATTAAAGGTAATTAATATTTATGAATTAAAATTTTATTTCCAATACACATACAAAAACATCATAAAACCGTATATAATTAATTTTGAATTTCAAAATTATATATACGGTTCACTCAAAACCGTATACCACTTTGAATTTTTTAAAAAAATTGTGCTTTTATTTGTTTATTATGATGAATTTGTTTGTATACGAAATGTCAGCTTTATTTCAAAATAAATTAGACATCAATAATTTCTATTATTAAATCGAATTGAATTGAAATTGAGTAATTTGGTAAGCTTCATATTAATATCAAATTTCAAAAACTAAAAACAAAAAATCTTTTGATCGTATTATTGTGTAAAAACGCTCATGCCATATAAAACAAAATTATGTCATATACATATATCTATCATAATGCAAAAACAATTTTTAATGTATTATATTCCGAAGTATTCTGAAGTACTGCACTAAAAAATTTTTCGAACCCTAAAAATTATCGTTTAAATATTCAAACAACATGTAGAATCAACATAGTTAAAATATTAATAAACGCAAATAATCTTCAACAACCTTTGCGGTTTTCATAAAAATTCGGAAATTAATTTTGATTTACAGCCGGATCTTAATGGCCTAATAGATACATATATATATATATGTATATAGCTTTATCAAAGATAGTTTAAAATAGTCCATAGATTCTCAAAACATTTTTTATTAATTATGTATATTGATAATTTTTGCAAGTTTCCATTTTTTAAATATTTAAAGAGAAAGAAAAAATGCTTTAATTCAAAAAACGTACTTTTTGATTTTAACATACGTATGTATCTATATGAGTACATTTATATATATATTTCGTTCGTACCGCTCAAAATTTCTGAAAAAAATTGTATTTTCCAAATAAAACTTCTGATTTAAACATCAAAAAACATATAAGTATGTACATATATATTGTACATACTATGTATACATTTAATTGTAAAAAAAATTAAACTTTGCAAAAAAAGTTTCCCTATCTTAATTTTCTCAAAAATACTAATTCAAACTTAAGCAGTTTTACCTGTCCTGTATCCTCCTTTTCTTATTCTATTTATGAACAACCAATTACACAAGGGAAAAACTCTTCTAATTCAATTGCAAAATTCCTAAAATTGATCTGTAACATGACTTGGGTCAGATCAATTTCAAGAATTATGTATGTATTAGTAGCATGTCGACTTATCATTAGTAATGTCGCTTATATACATACATATCATTAGTAATTTCAAAATTTGTAAAATTAAATCTTAGTTATATTTGATTATCTATTTATTTTTTTAGTCACAAACCTTAGTTCAGATAACATACGAGTAGTACAAAAAGAAGTTCAGTTTAACTCACAAAACCTTGCAAGTCAAATAACCACTTCAGGTTGTTCCAAAGAACTTTCACATTTTTAACGAAAGGTAGCCTAAACCGTCAATTCACAATTTTATTTTTTGGTTATACATTATTTCTCTACACCAACTAAATATTAGCCTTAAAATTAGGATTTACTTTTTACAAATTTAAATATGTATTTATACAAATAAAGGTTGATATTTCTAATTAATATTTTCATTCACGTCGTTTTACTTCACCTCCTGATGGGCAGGTTCATTTTTAAAGGCGAAATAACTTCAAGTAAAATATCATCAGACCTCATTTCTATAAAGATTTGCTGAAAAAAATTTTACCAAAATTTTGAAAAATTCCAATTTCAATTTAAGATTGTCTAATATATTTTTTATAATTTTATTTGCACATACATACATATTTCAGAAATTCACTATTTTATTTGATTTCATCAATTATTTCATGAAATTATTAATTATTTTTATAATTATTTGTTATATTTAGTTACTAAATTGAATTTATTTTAATGAATACAACTTATACTAGAATTCCACACATATGTATTATAATTTTTAAGGTTTTAGCTGTAAAATTAAATATTGTAAAATTATAATATTGTAATTTTTTTTAGAGCTTCCAATAATTTGTTTATTTGTTTTCAATATATTTTAATTTAATTATTTCTAAATGCTAATACAATATTTTAAGGAAAATATCAAAATTATTTAGAAAAAAACGATTGATAACATTAGTTATTCGTTGTATTAAAAACAAAAAACGCAGAATAAAATTAAACATCAAAATTCACAAAAAAAAATAAATAAAATAAAAAATAAAACCAATAAAACATAAACAATTTATTATATAAAATAAAAAATCAAACGTCGACGTTTTAGATTTAAGTAGGTAAATTCATTAAAGAAAATATAAAAAAAAAAAACAAAGAAATAGATAAAAAGATAAGATTAAACAGAAAAATACGTGAATTATAATAAAAATAAAAGAATTTATATTAAATATAAATTTTTTTAGCAAAAACCAAAAAAAAAAAACAAAAATATTTATAATACAAAATATTTGTCTGTTCAAAAAGTTTATCGGATTGGTGATAAATAGACTCACTTTTTTACTCATAATATCATTTTCCACAATGAAAACAAATACATATATTTATATGTATATGCACGTGTACATATGTATGTGCACGTATATATACGAGTATGTACATACATAAAAATAGACGTAAAATAAAAGCGGAAAATTTGTATGGTAAAAAAATTTTTTTAATTTTAAAACACAAAAAATAATAATGAAAATGTAATCAGAATACGCCATTATATATATGTATTTGAAATTAAATTAATTTTGAGAAAACTACACCACAGAGTCGGAATGAACAAAAAAACTCATTCTGCACCACAGATATTATAAATTAAATATACAATAAATAATTCAATACAAAAAAGCAAAACAAAAAAAAACACTCAAATTAGATTTAATAATTTTTGATTTAATTTCTTTTATTATTTTTTAAATAAAAATGATTAAATAATTAATTTTATAAATATAAATATAACATAAAGTCAATTTTATAAAATAAAAAATGTTTAAAATAATGGAAAAATTTAACAAAAAAAGTATAGAAATGAATAAACAAATAAAAAAACATAATATAATTGCGGAAATTGTAAATAATTAAAAACAAGAAAAAAATGTATAATTTAATAAAACAAAATGGGACAAAAATTTAATAGATAATATTATACAAAAATAAAATTATATTTATACTTTAGATTATTGTTTAATGTAATTTATATAAAAAAATTAAAAATATATAAAATATGTGAAAATTTAATTTATATCAATGAATATAATTGAAACAAAAATACGATAAAAATGTTGCTTATTATAACAACGAATCCATTAAATAAATATTTTTAAAAAGCATTGTATTAGATATTCGCTATGATCGTTTCTTCTTTCTTTTGTTGGAAGTAAATAATTGTTTATTATTTAATTAATAATAATTTATTAAATTAATCAAACTATTTGAAAGGAATATTTTTTCATATTTATGTATTCTTTGATAAATAGTAAATAAATTTAAAAATATTTCTTTCATATAATTACTCCTTTTGAAATTACTCAAATTTTTACTCAAAATAATTGTTGCTCAAGTTCATAATTTAATTTAATTAATTCCTGGTAAAAATGTTGTAACAAAACTTCGAAGATAATTCATAGTTTTCATTATTGAAATCACAATAATAACACAATAAAATAATCAATATTCGTGTGCGAAAATTTATACACGCTAAATTATAAATTAAAATGATTAAGTTTTGATATACAATTCCAAAAACAAGAAATTCAGAATATTAAAGTTTTAACCTAATTATAGTAAAATAGGAGAGTTAAATCGCATATTATATTCTTTTTATAGATATTAAAAATTTTTAAAATTTCATCAAAAATGATTTGGTTCCATATCAGAATATTCTTCCCAATCCACTGCTATTTTATTCAATAAAATGTTTTATTATTATTTGCGCGCAATCGACAAATGATAATAAGACATTTTATTATTATTTGTCAATTGCGCACAAAATTCAGGTAAATTCATTTTTGATATTCATACATTTTTTTGATTTCAGTCAGAAAGAAGTACATGCACTTATATAAAATAACTGAAATATTTTAGTAAATCATAAAAAACTCCAAATAATAATGCTCTGGCTTATTTAATTATTAACGTTATGGAATAATTGATTCTTGATCATTTTTTTTTTTACTTTGTCATCTATCACAACTATTCTAAGTTGTCTATAATAAATTTAACATTAATTTGCGTTAATGAAAATTTTATGCAAAAAATATTTTTCCATAATATTTTTGTCCATATAATAGTAAACAAATTGTTTTCAAATCATTAAAATGTCATAATCCAATGAAGGAAATTATTTCACTTATTTTGCAATCGTATATTTCAAGAAATTACAATATCTAGTATTAATTATTTCGCTTATCAAAAAAAAAAAACTAACTTTTAATACAAAATATTATTATAACGGCAAGAACTTTGAACACAAGAAAATTTCATAATATTTTTACAAACATTTAATTGGATATTATCATTAGTACTGAAAATATCACTAGTTTCAACAATATTCTTATTTCCAGACTTTTAACGCAGTAGAACATTTCCTTGAGTACACTGATGTAATTGTTTAAGCCCACTTTTTCAGAAAATAACGCGTTGTATCAATTATTTCCTTATACGAGTATGTTATTTTTATCTTAACGTCAATGTGTCAAAACAAAGAAACATTTTACAATTAATATGTTGACGGATTTAATTCAACTTTTATTACAAATATAAAAAAAATATTTTATTTT